AAATTTTTATAATACTGAAATTAGCTGAAGTTTTTAATTTTTTTTTTTTCATTTATTAAATTAGAACTAAAAAATTGTATTTATAGTTTTTCAAGTTTTTTACGAATGAAAATTTTTTTGTAATAATTTTATCAATAAAAAAAATCTCTAAAAATTTTTAGACTGTTAACTTATTTTTCATAAATTTTACAGTATATAAGTTAAAGATTTTTTATATTGATATAAAATTTATTATACAGTCACTTACAATAATTAAAAAAAATTTTGAAGTACAATTATTATTTTATATTTATTTATTATCACTGACAGAATAAAAGCTATTGATCCTATATTCACTATTTCATTAAAAGATAATTAATTACATAAAATGTCAAATGCTTACTCTCATGACGTAATAATTAATTAAAAATCCAACAATCAATAGCCCATCATGGTAGCGCCGACTATTGAAAGTCAAAGATTTAATTATTACTTATAAAAAAATCAAATTTTTTTTGTAAAACTTTTTTTTTAAAATCAAGAAAGACTAAGTTAATTAAATGCAGTCGCTAATTAGAAGCGATAAATAAAATGGAAAATTAATGAATCATTTAGTTCTTTACATTACAATTTATAATAATAAGAAAATAAAATGATCTTATATCAAGTGATGACAAAAAAGTCTTAAACGTAATTTTTGAAAAAAGCTAATTATTATACAAAAATAATTTTTTTTTTTAATTAGAATTATTTCAATATTCTTTAGAAAACTGTAATTTTATAATGGAATTTAATCACACATAAAACTCAATTAGCTAATTAACTTGCACGGTAGAAGACTGACTAGGTGATAAAAATAATATACAATATCAATAATGCTTTTTATCGTGATTACTTTGAACTCTAAGTGATGTGATGGGAAAAATTTACAATGCTGATTTTTTTTTTTTTTTTTTTTTTTTTTTTTTTATTATTAATTGTTAACTTTTAAAAATAACTTTGATTGGTAGAATGAAATGTTAAGTACTGGGTGGTTTTGAAGCTATCTATTTTAGATGTACGAAATGGAAAATGAAATGTACAATAGGTAGATATGAGTGTAGTTACTCTAGCTTGATGGCAGGGTTACTTGGCACTGACAGATCTAACTATTTCATTCACAGTTAGTCTGTGGTTTAGTTGTGCTACACATAACCGGTGTGTTATTATGTTATGTACTTGGTACACGCATCAATGGAGCACGTATAGATTAATGTACGTGTATGATCACAACGATATGAGAGAGTGAAATAACAACTGCGACGGGGGTGTAGGTGGTAGCATGATATGCTCGTGTTAGAGAACAACTAAAGCTTCACTTCATATGCTGATAATGACAATACATTTATCTGTTTGCATGAGCTTTCAAGAGTTGTTGCTCGTAAAGCTTATACGGATATGCAATGAATTATTTAGTCAGATAAAATATCTATTTTATTATTTATTAGTTATAAATTTTTGAATGTTGGATTATTTATTTTATTTGTTTTAATAAATTATCATCAGAAATTTTTTTTAATAATTATTAGTTATTTTTATTAAATTTTTACTTTAAGAATCATTAGACAGTAAAAAATTTTTTTACTGTAAATTAATTTATTAGAATGAAAATTAAGTTAGCTGATATTTAAAAATTTTTAGAATTTTTTTTTATTGAAGAAATGATTACAAAAAAATAAAAAAAAAAATTTCACTTGTAAAAAACTTTGAAAACTGTAAGTGCAATTTTTAAAAAATATTTTTTTGTTCTAATTTAATTATTAAAAAATAAATCAAAAAATTAAAATCGTCGGCTAACTTTAGTATTATTTTATTAGAAACAAATAATTCATTTTTTTTAAATTGAATAGTTTTTTAAAAAAACTTCATCAAGTAGAAATTATCAAAATTTTTATAATACTGAAATTAGCTGAAGTTTTTAATTTTTTTTTTTTCATTTATTAAATTAGAACTAAAAAATTGTATTTATAGTTTTTCAAGTTTTTTACGAATGAAAATTTTTTTGTAATAATTTTATCAATAAAAAAAATCTCTAAAAATTTTTAGACTGTTAACTTATTTTTCATAAATTTTACAGTATATAAGTTAAAGATTTTTTATATTGATATAAAATTTATTATACAGTCACTTACAATAATTAAAAAAAATTTTGAAGTACAATTATTATTTTATATTTATTTATTATCACTGACAGAATAAAAGCTATTGATCCTATATTCACTATTTCATTAAAAGATAATTAATTACATAAAATGTCAAATGCTTACTCTCATGACGTAATAATTAATTAAAAATCCAACAATCAATAGCCCATCATGGTAGCGCCGACTATTGAAAGTCAAAGATTTAATTATTACTTATAAAAAAATCAAATTTTTTTTGTAAAACTTTTTTTTTAAAATCAAGAAAGACTAAGTTAATTAAATGCAGTCGCTAATTAGAAGCGATAAATAAAATGGAAAATTAATGAATCATTTAGTTCTTTACATTACAATTTATAATAATAAGAAAATAAAATGATCTTATATCAAGTGATGACAAAAAAGTCTTAAACGTAATTTTTGAAAAAAGCTAATTATTATACAAAAATAATTTTTTTTTTTAATTAGAATTATTTCAATATTCTTTAGAAAACTGTAATTTTATAATGGAATTTAATCACACATAAAACTCAATTAGCTAATTAACTTGCACGGTAGAAGACTGACTAGGTGATAAAAATAATATACAATATCAATAATGCTTTTTATCGTGATTACTTTGAACTCTAAGTGATGTGATGGGAAAAATTTACAATGCTGATTTTTATAAAGCTATCTTATCGTTTTATTTGTAAAATGATGTTCAAGGGTAATTTCATTGTTGGAAATTTCTTTTTGTAGAAAAAAAAAAGTCAAATATTTATTAATTTTTCATATCATATTTGTTTTCAAAATATTCCAACTGATTGAAAAAATTTATTTATCAATTTATTAAATTAAATGACAAATTTAATTAAAAATATGACAATACAAATAGTTAACTATTTATACCACTATCTATAAAAGATATACCTACAGAGAATATAAATTATAAATTTTTTTATGTTAATAATCCAGTATCTTAAATAACAGTAGTTAAAATTTTCTTTACAATAATTATTTAAAAAAATTTCAATGAATATTAAGAGCATTTAAATTATACGAAATCAACAATAAAAAATTGTACTTGAAAATTTTCTTTCTTCTCTTAATAAACAATTGAACAAAAAGGTTTCATGATAAAAAAAATAGCCTTGAAATCAACTAAATAATTAATATAAATAAGATTTTGACAATATATTTAAATAAAATAATTATTTTCCATATAATAAAAATAATAATAGTTGTTGTTTGATTAATTCAGTAGAATAAATTTTGATTGATGTATTTTTGTGTCCTCTTAAAAATAAGTAGGGTATTTTTAAAATAATTCGATGACGAACATCTCAGTGGTACACATCATTATTGTCAAGTGTATATTATACGTGTGGTGCATATTAACTTAAATAGTATGTACGCGTGACACGTTAAACTGGAGGTGTTAAAAGAACCCTTACGACTTACTTGACGTACGTCTATTAAACAGTTAAAGAGTTTCATTATGTATAATAACAATAATAGCTGCGACTGGGAAGATAACGCGATCAACGTATATTTATCGCTTGTTTATATACACGCACAAACATACGTTAGCTTATAGACTAAAAATTATTTATAAAAATACAAACTAAATTACAAAAATTAATAACTACAGACAGTATAATAATGAATAGCACAAATTTATTATCGATCATACTTTTTATGTAATAATACAATTATGTACATCTTTTGTCTTAATATAATGGCATCATTATTTATTTATTTATTTATTACAGTACTGACTATCTATTAAAAAAATCTTTTTATTTTTTAATAATGATTTGATTATTAACTAACATACATTGAAATTACAATTTATATAAAAAAAAAAATTTAGATAATTAAAATATACTTTTATTGAAATTAATACACAGTACTGTATATTTAATAGTTCTTGAAATACTGGCCTAAATTGTTAAATATATAAAGTAAGAATTACAGTATAATATCCGACGTTTTTAGTACAAGGACTATTTTATAAGCTCGATATTGATTTATTTGCGTGCAAAAACTATTTGATTTATTGTTTATATTAAAAAGAGTGTACATGGCTTAAAACATTTTATAAAAACACTCGATTTGAATATTAAATTTTAAGTATCAATAATTATTATAATTATTATTTTATAAGTGGGCATATATTTCAATAGTATAAATATTTATAATATTTTAAACTTATTAATCCATTTCAATTTTGGTAATTATTCAAATAGACTCTGAATTGCAGCGAATCTATCAATATTCATTTTTTTCTGAACACATTTCATGAGCTTGTTCATTTATTTTTTTTCATTTCTTAATTATATTAAGCATTTTCCAAATATAAATCCTTTAATTTTTGAATTTGTACTTTTGATTAATTAACCTATATAAAATTTAATACTACGAATTAGCACCTCATTTAGATATCATTTTCTGAATAAACTGACATGTTTATTACTTCAAAATTTTACGGATTTTTAATCCTGATATTTAAAAATTAAGTCAATTTAATTATACTTATAATTACAATAAAATACTGTTGAAAAATTTTATAAAAGGTGATTTTAAATTCCAGGCCACTGTTTAATTTTTAAAATATTTTTAGGTCCCGAAAATTATGACTATTAATAATTTCAGGTAAAAATAGTTTTGAGCCTGAATTATACAATAAAAACTCGACGTATGTCTTTTTCATGTTATGTAATGAAATTACAAAAATTTTAATTGAAGTATTAAGGCGAGAAAATAAGTGAAGTTACTTGTCGATGAATCTCCGACATCTGAATCTTTATCACCGATTTCGTAAAGAATTTAGAAAGCGATACCTAATAATGCGGTTCCTTATAAATCACCAGCAGCCGTAAGATACGGGATCGCTGAGTTATCAGGATCCATGCCGCGTGACCACATCCAAACAACCATCAATTGAGCGAGGTATAAAAGTAAAATTACCTTGAAAAAAATATTTTTATATTAATTATTATATAATTAAATAATTTATCAACTTTATTGACAGTCAATGTAACTTACTTGTAAAGGTGCCGCTAATAGATACACGACAATAAATGTCGCCGTTAAGGAAATATGTCCTGGTCGGAGATAACTTAAAGTATAACTAAATATTAAGTGACTAGGTATTACCATCATTAGTAAAATTCTGGCAATTTTTGAATGCACACCTGAAATAATTTTTTTAATCAATTAATTTGAATTATAAATTAAGGATAGAATAAAAAATAAAAATTTGAATTACCAAAAGATGAAAATTCATCGATAGGGCCAATACAAATTTTCAAAGGTTTTTCCACTTTTCCGTTGTGTTGTTCTAGATGAAGAGATGTCGATGTTCTTGATGCTTGCACAGCAACTAAATTTCCTCCAACCCCATTGATTACCAATTGAAAAACAGCTATGCCTTTGTAATTAGATATTGTAAAATCTAATATCAATCCACCGATGCTAAAATTACAATAAAAAAAATGAATTATGATAAATTAATTAATAAAACTGAAATATAAATGGTAAATGATTACCTGCTGATTAACATAGCTGAAATAACAGGACTCCAATCATAGTTAAGAACTTCTTTGGTAAAAGAATTCTTGGCAGCAATATATCCCCAAACGGGCGTCGCTAATAGACAGCAGACAATCATAATGGTTACAATTCATGATTGATTGTTGATAGATCGATACAAATAGGAGACTACCCATGACAGTAACGCGAGTGTTGTCAAATCACCGAGAGATGCAGCAATTGGCGTGGCAACATTGTCAGGGTTAATGTTCATCCGTTTAGAGAGCAATATAACCGCGACCATTACAAGACCAAGCAGGAAACTGGCAACAGAGGCTGGGACAAGTGCACTGACATACAATAATAGTCCATGGTGAATATTAAAGTGAGCCTCTGGTATCCATCCGAAGATCACTGCTGCCAAGGACGCCAGTAAGCCAACCACCATCGACTGGCATTGGATCAGCGCTAGATTACCAATTATTAACGTCTACTGCTGCTTTTCTGTGTCCATGTGACCCAGATTTGCGTGGGTAGACAGTCGAGAGGCCAGAGTCATTTCGAGGTTTCCTTTCAACCCCAATAATGCCGGTACCAGAATATACACCTCTGATACTACTTGATATACTGGCCAGTGCTGAAATTAATATTCATTTTAATTCTTAAATTGGTGCTTGAGATAAGTGCTTTGGAGTTCATCAAAACAAACACTGGCATTTTAGTGTTTGATAATGATAATATTATCATATATGTAATCAAAAGAGTAAATTAAATATTTCTCAAGTTTCATCATTAATGTACATGAGTATCTAAAAATAATTTTTGAGTTGTAATTTTTTTTTTTTTTTAATCATTTAATAATTTGTTTATTATTACTCATAAAAATATAATATTTATTTTTAAACTCCAATTGTTAATATTAAAAAATTCATAAAGTGTTGCATTTCAAAACAATGTAGAGATCCTCGTAACTTTTTTTTCCTCAAACGTTCTTTGAAGTACCCGGGTTTCCTTAACTACTGGCGTTACTACTTGTATAACCCTTTTCGCAGGTAATTGCAAGTCAACAATTTTGGGAGACTTTATTTCAACAGACGTCCACGGCCCGTAGGGATCGACTCTATCCGGAACACTGTAATCTCTTCGGTAAGCCCGATAAAATGTGGTAGGATCACAAAAAACAACGTCGACTGGAAGATTTTTACTTGATTCGAGCCGAGAATTTCTTACTGATAATACCTCGGGGACTTGATTAGGACTAACTACGATAGGTTCGTCAATTCTGTTGCGCTTATTCTTCATTATTTCCTGTGCTGTTATGTCAACCGTGTTTCCTTCGAGATCTTTGATGTAAGCTGCCAAAGCGGCCTTTTCCATATTTTCAAGATCACATTCAATTTTCTTCTGGATCTTGGTTTGCTTGGTGCTGTTCTTGTATATCATTTTAACTCTCTTGCTGGCACTTTCCTTGTGTTTTTTACCATTTTTATGGAAATCAATGCTTGCTCTATTGTCAGCGATCCAACACTTGCAAAAGTCGCAGAATTTTCGATCTTGAGATTGCCAATAGTCCGCCATTTTTTTAAAAAAAAATCGATTGTTTATTTTTATTTTGAAATTGTCTATGGTTTACAAGTCAATTTAAGTAAACAATACGTATAACCTCAAATATATATATTTATAAAAATTATAACTATAAGGGTAAAATATTAAAATTAAAAAACTTTCACACACACTTTATAAATATATAATAATAAATTATACAAACAAATATGCAAGTATTATCAAATTTAACACTAAACGTATAAAAACGTTTAATTTCACAAATACTAAAAACAGATGGAAAAAGATACTAAAGACAGAATACACTCACAGAAAATGCAAGTGTATTACGCCTCTGTGTATATCCGTGAGTGGGAGTGAAGTTCCGATTTTTATCGCAGATGTCGCGTCTTATGGGAAATTGTGGCGGTCCTGCCGCCTCGGTCGCGCTCCCAGCGACCAGAAGTCAAAACAAATCTACTAAAGCGCCAATCGTCGGAGCGGGAAACTCTCTCTCTCTCTACAATAAACAGTCCCACACAAATTCAAATAATCCCGCCTTTCTGCACGCCATAGCTGTGGCGTGACTGTGCAGTATTATTATTATAATTAATAATATATTATAAATTGTGACCTGACTAATTATAAGGAGAGACGCTAAGTTTTTTATGTAATAAATAAGTGAATAAATATTATCAAACACGAATTATTCTTGCAATATTATTATCATTATTAGTATATAGTGTAGTACACCTTAACAACTACATATTGGTGACCCCGACGTGATTTAATTTTGCAAGAAATAATAAGTACGAAAACAACCGACGCCGGTAACCTAAAAAACACATGTTTAGAACACCCGCGAAAAAAGACACGATGTTTCAACCTGACAAAGACAAACCTGCAGACGATCTCAATAAGTCTCTACTTGAATTTGACTTACCACTAAGTGATCCGACAAGCAAAACATCCAACTCGGGTACTGTGACACAAACTAAAGACTCCAGTGTTAACGACAATAGCAACAACGATGGTGACAACAATGGTAACACCGGGACAACCCAACAACAGCAAACATTACCAGTTGCACCATTCGATCCTTCACAAATATTCGCTGTCAACCTCCACCTGCCACAGTTCACCTCGGACAGACCTGAAATGTGGTTTGCCATCGCCGAAGCAGACTTTTTAGCAAATCGCATCACCAGTGACAATCAGAAATACAGTCAAACATTGAAGGCTCTCCAACCCAACATCCAAACTCAGCTCTGGGACATCATCAGCGATCCACCAGCTCAAGATAAGTACCGTACAATTAAGAACGCAATACTCAGTCGTTTCTCTGATTCTAGACAAACACAACTGATAAAGCTCCTCAGAGACATGACACTTGGTGACAAGAAACCCTCACAGCTCCTCCGAGAGATGCGTGAACTGGCAAAGGGTTCAATTAACGGCGACGCATTACACCAGCTCTGGAAAGAGCGTCTTCCAGCTTGGATTCGTCCGTACCTCCTGGTCTCACCCCACATCAATGACCTCAACGGTTTGGCGGACCTAGCAGACCGTCTCGTGCTCAGCATGGGAAACAGCTCGGTTTATGCGGTTCACAACAAAGAACATTCAACTTCAACAAGCCAGTCTCATCTCGAACAACAAATTTCAGACCTCAAACTTTCAATGAAAAGTCTTCAACAGGACATCAGCAACATACAACTTCAGCTACAACAGCAGCTCCTGCTGATCAACAATCTCAGCCAACGCAAATCCAGAGCTGACCAAGGCTACGGCAGATCGCAGTCCAGGGGCAGGGCTTCAACACCTAACCCTAACGGATACTGTTACTATCACCAACGCTGGGGAAACGACTCGAGAAAATGCGTCCAGCCATGCAAGTTCGTCCCAGTCACCCCCGTAAACCCGGGAAACTAGTTCCGCTGTCAACAGTTGAGGCAGTTGGTGACAGCGAATCCAATCTACCGCCTCAAGAGCTACGTCTTCACGTGTATGATCGCAATACTAACAAAAAATTCTTGATCGACTCTGGGTCGATCGTTTCTATCATTCCAGCCAGTCACGTGAACGACAAACTAAACAAACACCCACTTACACTTTACGCAGCAAACGCATCCGCCATCAGCACCTATGGAACTAAAACTATTTCACTGGATCTGAAACTACGCAGGAAGTTCTCCTGGCCTTTTATCATCGCCGATGTCCAAACAGCCATTCTTGGGGCAGATTTCTTGACTCACCACAATCTACTAATCGACCTCAAGAATCAGCGGCTAATCGACCCGCTTACGTCCCTCTCAACAAAAGGAGAGACCTTATCAACGCAGACTTATAATATCTCAACAATAGATTCAAAATTACCGCAGATTTATGCGGACTTGCTTCAAAAATACATTGAAATTACGAAGCCGATCCGCAAGAAAAATTCCACCAACACACAGTATGCACATCGCATTATAACAAAAGGACAGCCAACTACAGCACGCGCACGAAAACTTGGAGGCGAGAAAGCAGAATCAGCAAAAAACCAAATTGCTGACATGCTTGACCAAGGCATCCTGAGACCATCAAACAGCCCGTACGCCAGCCCCATACACATGGCTAAGAAGAAAAATGGCACTTGGAGACTCTGCGGTGATTACCGCAACCTGAACGCCAACACTGTGCAGGACATGTATCCACCACCGCTGATACAAGACCTCTTCCAACGGCTAACTGATACACGCATCTACACCAAGCTAGATCTGGACAAAGCTTACTACCAAGTGCCCATCCAATGGTCACGCGAATGCACGCCTTGCCAGCAATCCAAGGTACACCGACACACACGTCTTCAACCGAATCACATTGATGTACCTGATTCGAGATTCAACCACATACACATCGACATAATCATCTTACCAAACGTAAAAGGCTATCAATACTGTCTCACCATAGTCGATCGCTTCTCAAGATGGCCAGAAGCTGTACCCATGATGGACATGACAGCTGATACGGTGGCAACTGAACTCTTCAACCACTGGATTTCTCGCTTCGGATCTCCAATCACGATCACATCAGACCAGGGAGCTCAGTTTGAGTCCGCTCTGTTCAAGGCCCTAGCCAACCTAGTAGGCGCAGAAAAAAACCGAACGACAGCATACCATCCACAGTCAAATGGTATCGTTGAACGCATGCACCGCACACTTAAAGCAGCGCTCATGTGTTCACCAAAACCCTGGCTCGAAATCCTGCCTACTGTCCTACTAGGACTCAGAACATCATTCAAAGAAGACATCCAGGCCACTCCAGCTGAAATGTTATATGGAACGTGCCTGAGAATACCAGGAGAATTCTTCGTCACAGCAGATCTTCCACCTGATCCACAGATCTTTGTAGAGAAGCACAGGGAGTACATGCGTGGCATCCACCCAACACCAACGGCTCATCACACGAAGGCCAGAGTCTTCATACTTAAAGACTTGGAAACGTGTTCACACGTCTGGCTACGCTGCGATCACGTAAAAGCCCCTCTTGAACCACCTTACCAAGGCCCGTACAAAGTCGTCAGCCGCCTCACTGACAGACTTTACAAACTGGACATAAATGGGGAAGAAAAAAATGTTTCTGTGGACAGACTGAAACCTCACTACTGCAGCAAAACTGACAGTGATCTTGCTGAAAATGAAAATGAAGCAGATGCTGTCATTCCAACGTCGAATCAAGCCCAAGCACATCACTGGGGATCAACAATGGACCCACCAAAGAGGACCTACGCACGGACCGTGACTTTCAAGGCTCCCGCCGAAAGCCACTCGGGGGGGAGTGGTTGTGGCGGTCCTGCCGCCTCGGTCGCGCTCCCAGCGACCAGAAGTCAAAACAAATCTACTAAAGCGCCAATCGTCGGAGCGGGAAACTCTCTCTCTCTCTACAATAAACAGTCCCACACAAATTCAAATAATCCCGCCTTTCTGCACGCCATAGCTGTGGCGTGACTGTGCAGTATTATTATTATAATTAATAATATATTATAAATTGTGACCTGACTAATTATAAGGAGAGACGCTAAGTTTTTTATGTAATAAATAAGTGAATAAATATTATCAAACACGAATTATTCTTGCAATATTATTATCATTATTAGTATATAGTGTAGTACACCTTAACAACTACAAAATAACATGGGATTTTCTGGGTACGAAGTTATTAAAATTGTCACCTCGAGCGCTAGCCCTGTTGCCCTCGGGGCGAATTGAAGCATGCAATTATTGGCTTGATGAAGAAATAAAAAAAAAAAAAAAAACCGATTATAGCGTGATAAATAAATAAAAATTGTATTCTGAAAAAAAAAAAATTTCATTTTTTATATAATGGAAAGTTTGATTAGGCGAGTATTTTTACAGTAAGAATATTTACAGTAAAAATAAATGTGAATATAATATAAGTGCAATACTTGTACATTCAGTAAAACTTATTCTAATTCTGGGAAATACCCGATGCTATTATAGAATAGCAAAAAGAATAGTGGCGCTATGGTTAGGATTTACATATTTTTTTATTGTAATAATTTACCATTCAAATAAGAAGGGCCATTCAAAATAAGGTAATCATTGAAAAGGCGGTCCCGCAGTATCAGGTACAAGAGAGGGGAGGGTTTTAGTGAGTAAGAATCTCACACTACCGGCAACCAATATCTCCAACATCTAGCCGGTGTCTTATGAAGATTTCCCTCCTCTCGCCCAAAAAAAAAAAAAAAATCATTGAAAAGGCATCGAGTAAGTTTGCTGTAATGAGCTTAGAGTAATTACCTGACTATACTAATTAGTATAGACGTCGTCAGAAAAATTAAAAGAAACGACAACAATACAATGAATTATTGAAATTTTAGATAATGTACCCCTATATGAATTCCAATGTTAGATACTAAAATGTATAGATAAGTAGAAAATAATTAGCATAGAAAATAATATTTTAAACTTTTAATTTTCAATGAGATCAAAAAACATATAGGTCAAAGATTTCATTGAAAATTAAAAGTTTGA